AGCCTCTTCTCTTCTTGGGCAGTTTTGCTTGAAGTGCCCTTCTTTGGAACACTTAAAGCAGACTTCTCTTTTGGTTGGGCTTTTGTTGGCGTAATGACCAGTCTTTCTGCATTTGAAGCAGTCATTTCTTTAGAGCATTCCCCAATGTGTTTCCTTTTGCACTTGTCACACCATTGTGCTCCTTCTTCGAGCTTCTTCGAATCAGGCTTCGAAAATTTTCTCTTCTCATCGGACCTTGAAGATCCTTCAATCTTTATTTTCTCACTCACCTCGATTCTCTCTAAACCCCTTTCCTTTAACTGGGTCTCCACATTTTTAGCTGCTCGGACTGCTGTCTTCAAAGTAGTTGTCATCTTGACCGTTGGTCCAAAGTCGGCAGGCAGTCCATTTGCGAACCTCTTAATTTTTGAGAGTTCAGTTGGCACTAAGTATGAAAATAACTTCATCTTTTAGGTAAATGCAATAGCATAATCATCAATTCTCAATTTACCTTTCTTCAGGTTCTGGAATTCATTGTTCAGATCAATCAGATCTATCTCTGAGAAGTACTGCATCTTTAACTACTCCAAGAATGATTCCCAAGACATCCTTAGTGCTTCCCCTTGGGGCATTGTATATGCCAGTAACTTCCACCAGCTCAAGACTCCAGTCTTCAGTTATCTAACTGCAAAGACAGTCTTCTGTTTGTTGCTACAGTCGCAACTTTCAAACACCATCTCCATTTCGGAGATCCAGTCCATAATCTCTACAGGCTTTGGGCTCCCAAAAAGACTTGGTGGTTTGGCGCACAAGAAATTCTTATACATACACCCATCCCTGTTTATTTCCCTTTCCGGGTCATTCCTTTCTGCCACTGGGGGTTCTTCTTGTCCAACAGTCCCACTATAGTTACTTCCCTCTGAATGCCCTCCATTCACTTCAGGCTCTTCCACTTGAAGTGATACTTCCTCACGATTCTGTTTGAGTAATTGCCTTGTCTCCTCCATTTGGCGATCCAATATCATCTGCATCATCACTTGCACCCCAATCATCGTCATTGGCTGTGGTGTTGCTGCTACAACAGGTGCTTGCTCAATCACTGGTGATTGAGGCTGTTGATTCCTGTTTTCGTTTGCGTTTCCAACTCCGCTTCTTGTTCTTGCCATTTCGATCTATACACCGAATAAGGTGAAATTAGATCCTCCTTCGCGATAGATATTACGATCTTCCATATCACTCTGAAACGTTTACATGCTAGTTCTAATATCGTAACCATACGCTTAGAATCCTAAACACACAAGGTTTCCTGATCCGGTCAGCAACAGACCATATATCCGAATAAATAATATCATATATGGCAACATATAACATTTAGCACATAAAAGCATTTTAGGCATCATTCCTAAAATAAACTAATGCTTGTGTCAATTTAGGTGTACTACCTAACATATTTTAGATACACTCCTCATGACCATTACTTAGCATTCTAAGTTTAAGTCTAGAAATTTCCAACAAATTCCTAGTTCACTTAAACTAATGCTCTGATACCAACTGTAACTTCCCCAATTTCACGGCCAGAAAAGACCGATTTGTTTATGCTTTGTTTTTAAAATCAGAGTAATCGTTTAAAGAAAACTGATGCGGAATTTGTTCCCAAAACAAAATATAATAAGAATTTATCAAAGCATTTCTTAAAGAAATGTATTTTCATTATATAACAAAATCTCGGGATGTCATGTTCCGATATAGATACATAGGCATAAACAAAACTTACATTTATTTACACTAATGATTTACATCTCCTTTAATCTCTCAGTGAAATATGTCTTCGTATTAATACCTGTGATACAAATAAAAGTGAGTGGGTCAGGCTTGGGAGCCTGGTGAACATATATGGTTTTCATCCCACGATGTTATATCATATATTTATATAAGTAGAACATTCAAACTTGTAGGATTTCACCATATAAAGGCCACTATTATCCCACCCCATCGATCCTCACAACGACACAATCTAAACTCTCGTATCTAAAAATTTCCTCTTTACCTGATCCCTACTCACGGATCTAAAACTATCCTCTTCACCTAATCCATACTCATGGATCTAAAACTAACCTTTTCACCTGATCCATACTCACGGATCTAAAACTAACCTTTTCCCCTGATCCATACTCACGGATCTAAAACTAACCTCCTGATCTGATCCATACTCCCGGATCAATAATTGTACCCAATCCATACTCCCGAAATAGGGACAATTAACTATAACTTAATCCTAATCTGATCCATACTCCCGGATCAATAACTGTGCTCAATCCATACTCCCGGACTAGGGACAATAAACTTAGTCTTAATCCATACTCCCGGACTAATAACAAGTTTTATCTCTTTACCTGATCCATACTCCCGTATCTAAAACTAACCTCTTGGTCTAATCCATACTCATCCTTTTATCACACACCAGTTATCTCATCTACCCATGTTCTACCCAACATACTTGTAGATATAAAATACATATACAGTTTAACTCATTTAAAAACTATATAAAACATCCATTCCACACCCATCTCAAATAAACAATAATATATAAACACATAGCACATATTTTATAACAAATACTTCATATTTATGTGTTAGAAGAAAGTAACCACATACTCACTTGATTAGAAGATGATCGGACAACACTACGACTCTTGTAATACTCTTTTGCGATGAAACCAGGATGTTTCCTTCAAAACTGGGCTTCACGCGAGCAGAGCTTGGGCTCGAAAACTATTTTTCTCGGGATCTTTGGGATTTAGGACTTGCTTTGGGTCTCGGGAATGATACCGGGGCTTCGGGATATTTCTTGCACGAAAAACGAGGTAAAACGGGAGAGAGATGAGACAAAATGAGCAAAGGAATAAGGAAGCCTCACACCCTTCATATAGGGGCTGGATTCACGATTTACGGTGGGCGTAAATAGAGTTACGCTGGGTGTAATTTGGATAAGGCCGTTGACTCCCCCCTTTGGATAATATCCGAATTTATATTTAAATTAAATACTTTAATTATTTAATAAACTTCAAAAATTCATATCTTCCTCATACGAGCTCTATTTTCGACGTTCTTTATATCCCCGCGTAGGTGAGACTATGATCTACAACTTTCATTTAGACTCCGTCGGCCAATTTTGAATTTATTTTTATTATATTATTTTAGTAGACCGGGACAGGAAAACTCTGTTCTTCATCCGAGATCCGTTTTCGTCTGTTTTTTTTTACCGTTGTAGTACTATTAACAAGATCTTCGATTCTCGTTTAGATTGTTTCAGCTAAAAACCGCTCGATCTCAAATCGAGTATTCGGGCTGGATACCGCTAAGTCGAAACTTAGAAAAATCATAACTTACTCATACGAAGTCAGATTCAGACGTTCTTTTTATGCATGCTCATGGTTTAATGAACTCTACGACTTTCGTTGAGATATCTAAGGCTAAATATCACTTTAACGTAAATTCTCTATTTACGTCATTCAGCGTCGTGTTGGTTCTATCGCGAAACTTCGACAGGTCATAACTTCTTCGTTATAACTCGGATTTTGACATTCTTTATATGTACGGTCATAACTTCGACGGGTCATAACTTCTTCGCGAAACTCCAACCAAACTCCATTTTTTACCCTATTTTTACCCCAAAAAAGTATATTCCATTCTTATAACTTATATAAATTATCAAACATACCCCTTCTATTAATTTGATTTTAACAAATATATAATATTTTTTTTCATTACCATAGTATTAAATAAATAAGATTATATTTATAATACGTAATTATAAGTTTTTGTAAAATATATTGTGTTTTAAAACTTCAATATGTATTTAATTTTTAATATGAATTTGATAAACAATACAATATTATAAGTACTAAATATTATATTTAAATAATAATTAGTAGATAAAAAATCAGAAATGTATAAATATATAATTAATTAATTAATATAATTTAATATACAATACAATATTATAAGTACTAAATATTATATTTAAATAATAATTAGTAGATAAAAAATCAGAAATGTATAAATATATAAAACGAGGTACTAAACCGACACCTTAAAATTCATCCCCATTTTGGGGAAATAAATAGGGGATGGTTGGAGAGGAATGTGGAAAAAATGGGAGAAAAAATGGAGAATGAGAGTGGGTTGAAGATGCTCTAATAGGGTGACACGTGACAAAGTATCTTCTACCATAATAAATAAATATAATTTTACCAAATGTCAACTTCTTATTGAATTTGATACATGTTATTTTTTTAGAATTGTAAAATTATTTTTTTTCCACTTGTCATTTTTGTATTTTTTATTTTCCATTTTTATTCAACTTCTACCTACTAAATACCACCTCATAGTAATTAATGTGAATTAATGTATATAATAAACCTTTTATTTGTGAATTGTTATTTCTATTTAATGAATGAATTTATATTAATTAGTTTTATTAGTATAGATTAATTAAGATAAATTATATAAATGGTCCTTGTGGTTTATTCTGTCTATTGTATTTATTTCGAAAGTTTATTTTAAAAAATACTTAATTTTACACATTAATATTCAACATGACTTTTTAAACATAATGATAAATTTTTATTAGTATAGATTGAATTACTTATTCATCATTTTAGTTATATTTATTTCAAAATTTTACTTTAAAAAATATTTAATGTCTACACCTTATATTTAACTTTTTTAATCAATGAGTGTAATACATGTGTTTCACACCTAATAATAAAATATACATTAATTAGGAGAATTAATAAGATAACACATGTCAGAAGGAGATTAAAGCTATTATTTTATTAGAATAATTATCATTATTATTATTATTATTATTATTATTATTATTATTATTATTTTGAAAAATTAGACAACTTGAAGACTTTTTTAAATTTAACCCATATTTTTTTAATAGAAAGTAAAAACGACCCAAATATACGTTTTTTATTCACAGGCCACTTTTTCCACAAGGCCAAAACCCTCTCCCGGGTTATTTCACACAAGACGCTCCTACTTTGCTTTTAACCGGTAAACCATCCCTTCCAGGCTTCCACAGACGGAAGAGCAAAATCTTCTAAAGTACGAAAACAATTCTTGCATGAACTAGAGACATAATTAGGGCTTGGATACAGAGTTGATGTTCATAAATGTCGTCGATTCGGAGCACCTTATTGACTATTTTTGTAATCCTCATACTGAAAAATTCAGAATCAACGCCGCCTGGAGCTTACAGAAGAGATCCAGGTCATCCTCAATGGCACCACAGTGCTTTTCAAGACGTTAAAGATAGTGTCCGGTCTGATGTTCATCGTATGCTCCATTCTCGCGCCGAGGTAAATTTGATATTATATAATGCGATGGTACTTTCCATGCAATCATCGCATTTCCAGTGAAGTGATTTTGAATAGTTTGATTTAGGCATTGTTCTAACTATGAATCATGATTACTAAGTATATAGCTAACAGATTGATTATGTGACAGTGTGAGATTATCAATCGCTCAATTTATCCATCTAAAATTCCCGTGCCTTCTTCAGTTTGTTTGATTTGTTAGATCACATTTTTCTGTGGATCAGCGAGTCAAATTGAAGTTTAGTGATGTAGTCAATCTCTCTTATTGCCTGTCAACAGAATTTGATGGTCAGCATGATCCTAACTGTATAGCAAAAATATAATTTGTTGTAGTGAATCTTTGAAAACTGTGAAAGTTGCCATTAATTAAACTCAGCATTCAGGATATTATGCTATTCTGACACCCTATTTCATTTGCAATCACTTGTACTACTTTTTGATTTTTATGCCTCAGTTACTGTGATGTTAATGCAGGTTCCATTCCAAGTCCCACTTGAAGTAAATATTATCCTCATTGGTTTCAGTGGAGATGGAGGCTATAGATACACACTAGATTCTCAAAAATTGCAAGAGTTTCTTCAAGTTGGCTTCCCTACTCACAGGCCCTCATGTTTGGAGACAGGCGAGCCCCTTGATATTGAGCATCACATGGTGTTTAATGCAATTCCAGTAAGCTCTTTCTACATAGTTTCTTGTAGGGAGTCTAATCCACAGTCCCAGTCCACACTGGTTTACCTTGGAAATGTTTCTACTTTGGCATTCCATTCAGATTGTAAATGATATGTGCAGAAATTGTTTTTTGTTTACTGTCACAGCAGCTCTTCAGGAGTAATTTCTCTTTAACTTGATTAAGATTCCATTTCAGAAGCTTTAGTTGGATCATCATCCCATTGCTTTCACATTATTTGGAATTCGGTTTATTTCAATGCTTTCCAAAGAAACACCTTAGAAATTGGTACCCATAATCATCAACCAATTTAGGCATTGTCTTAGAGGACAGTTATTGTGGCTATGATAAAGCTTACCAGGATGTGTTTTCTTTTAACTTAAATGTCAAAAGGAAAGTAAATGAAGAATTGAATTATTAATCTCTTTACTATTTTAGTCATATCCTGGCTCTCATCATTACACTTTTCTTTCATCTACTTGCTTACAGGTTGGACAGCCGGAAGTGATAGCATTAGAAAAGGCTCTGAAAGCAGCCATGGTTCCTGCTGGCACTGCCAGAGAGGTAAAGTCAAGTGTTTATTTTTGTTTTAATTTTTAGTTATGCTCAATATTTGTATTTATATCGTATTTTCTTGTAGACTGATTTTGGAAGGGAAGTGCCTGTATTCGAGATTGATGCAACAGTTGTGGAGCCTGAATTTCAAAAGCTATATTCCTATCTGTTTTACTTTGAGAATATTGGATATTCTGCTGAAGAGATTGACAGACCAATGCCAACTGCAATTTTTATTGTGAATTTTGATAAAGTATGATCTAACATCCCTAACCTTTCATTGATTGTTATCCACTATTTAGCTACCCTAATAATGGATGACTCGTATCGTTTCATACTTCTTTTTGGAACAAATACCATGTCTTTAAACTACGATATGAATCATGAATGTACAATATTTCTTAGAAGAGATGTCTTGGCTAGAAGCTTAACCCCTTAGGAGAAGGAAACCAATTAGTTAGGAAGGTTTCATCATCTGTGTCCTTTGTTACTATCTTATTTATTTATTTTTTTTTTCATTTTTGTTGATCTGACCTATTTTACACTGTTTTTACAGGTTAGAATGGATCCCAGGAATAAGGGTATTGATTTTGATAGTTTATTGTACCAAAAAATTGATAGGTTAACTAAAGAAGATACAAAGAAACAAGAGGGAGGTTACATATATCGTTATCGTTATAATGGAGGAGGAGCATCTCAAGTTTGGCTTGGTTCTGGAAGGTACATTTTACTCTAGTCTGGTTTACTTTGGGCATGACATATATTTTCAAGTCAATCTCTTTTTATTCTCTTCAATGTCACAATTGTTTATCTAGATTAGAAATCACTGCTTATTCTTGTAAAATACTAACCTATTTTACATCACAATTAAGGTAATTATTGTTATTAATTATTCTTTATTCCTTTTACTATTTACCATTTAGGGACCTCCCATCTCTTATCATAAAAATTCATTTTATAGCTGGGAATCCACCTCTTGTTTATAAATAATGACCTATTACTTTCCTTATTAACTTTTCAACCACTTTCAAACTAATCCCTATATTAATTGAATCTAACAAATAGACTGCTCCCTCTTTATTAGATTAATGTCTATTAATATAACTAACCTGACACTATTGCGCATCTAATTGTCCTAAAGTCAACTCTTGTTGACCTTAACTACGAACGTAAAACACAACTAAAGTTGATCACTTTCCTTGATTTTTCATAGAAAAGCTATACTTTTATCATTCTAGTAACCTTTATTTTACTTTTACTTTCTCAATTAAGTTGAATTTACATTTGCATCTCCTTTCATCTTTATACTCAGGTTTGTAGTAGTTGACATCTCAGCAGGCCCATGCACATATGGGAAACTTGAAACAGAAGAAGGAAGTGTTAGTTCAAAAACCCTACCCCGCTTAAGAAATGTCATGTTTCCACAAAACCCCACTGATCAATTCACCTCACATGACAACTTTGTGGGTCAACTTGCTGCTTTGATTGGGATCATAATTGAGCATCTTGTTGCTCCAGATGTCAGGTGGATATCAGACAACTTTTACTTTCACTTTTTAATTATGAATAAAGACAAATCTATCCCCAAGGCTATTTTTTTTGGCAAATCTTAAGCCAACGTGGTTTGATTTGTCTTCTTATCTACAATTCTAGATGTTAATACTTGTATACACCCTTATAATATTTCAGGTTTGAAACTGTAGATCTAGCAATGAGGTTGCTTATACCAATAATCGTCCTACAAAATCACAACCGTTATAATATAATGGAAAAAGGCCACAACTACAGTATAGACATTGAAGCCATTGAGAACGAGGTGTGTCTTTCCTTTTTCCTCTGAAAGATTGAGATTTTCAATGAATTTAACTCATACTCTATGTTTTATTTTACAGGTTAGGAACATGGTACACAAGGGAGAAGAAGTAGTGATTGTAGGAGGCTCACATTTATTACATCTCCATGAGAAATTAGCAATTGCTGTTTCAAAAGCTATGCGTGGTCATTCCCTACAAGAAACTAAAAAAGATGGACGTTTTCATGTCCATACAAAGATGTATCTTGATGGTGCCATTCTTAAAGAGGTCCCAAATCCCAATTCTACATTTGCTGTTTTCTTAATTATAAATACATTTCTTGAATCTTAAAATTATTGTTTTTTTTTAGGAAATGGAACGTTCTGCTGATGTACTTGCTGCTGGATTACTTGAGGTCTCTGACCCTTCGCTTTCTGATACATTTTTCCAACACCAGGTTAGTAGTCTCAATTTAGTTAAATTACACTTATACCCTTTTTGGAATTAACCTGGTTTAATTTTTTTACAGCAATGGATGGATGAGAATCATGAGACAGATGAACCCACTGATTCATATCTGAAGCACAAACCTTTTCAGTCTTATAACCCAAACACATGGGGACAAAACACTAAAAATGTCAAAAAGAAACAAGGGGACATACATCGGACTTATGGAACAAGAGTTGTCCCAGTGTGAGTAAAATTGAACTACTTTTAATGTCTATGCCATTAATTGCATTTTTGGTCCCTGAATATAGCTAATATTTGCAAATTTGGTCCTTATTTGAGTTTCTTGTAATGTTTTTGGTCTCTGTTCCATGTAAAATGATTATTTTTGGTCCCTAGTATAGCTGATTTTTACAAATTTCTACCAAGATTGAAGTCATTATACTTGGAGCAGGGACCAAAACCGTTACAAAAACCTCAAAAAATGACCAAAATTGCAAGAAAGAAACTTTTTAGGAGCAGAATTGAAAAAGTCAGCTATAGTCAGGGACCAAAAATGTAATATACTCAAAATCAAATTTGTAGGTTTGTTTTATCATTAGCTGATGTGGATCCACAACTTATGATGGAAGACGAAAGCCTGTTGTGGACAAGTAACGATGTTGTCATTGTACTTCAGCATCAAACTGACAAGATACCTTTAAGGTAATAATCATATAACACAAATTAATATTTACCATATTAAGAAAATTTTCATTTTTTTTTTGTTTGTTTTTTGACTGTTTGTATCTTCAATGACAGTTATGTATCAGAAACAGAGAGAATACATGTAATTCCATCACAAGTAGAACGCCATATAATTGCTGGACTTGCTTCAGTAGTAGGTGGATTAAGTGCTCCATACGAAAGAGTTTCTCATATTCACGAAAGACCCGTTGTCAATTGGCTCCTTGCAGCTGGTTGTCATCCATTTGGACCATTTTCCAATGTCTCCAAACTTAGTCAACTCCTTCAAGATGTCACATTGGTAATAACTAATAACTAATAATAATAATAAACTTATAATTAACTAAACTATGATTTCTCATTTCTTATCCTCGTGTTTGGTGACAGAGAAATACAATTTACGCACGTGTAGATTCCGCCCTTCGTAGGATTCGAGAGATGTCCGAGGTCAATATAGTCATTTTACTTGTTTCTGATTCCCGAAATTATTTACTATTTAAAAATTTGAATTTGTTGTATATAGTCTGTGGAAGCTTTTGCTGGAAAGTACCTGAGAACCCCTTTAGGTGAACCAGTGAAGGGTAAAAAGAACAAGACAACCACTGAATTATGGGTTGAAAAATTCTACAAAAAAGAAACAAATTTACCCGAACCTTTTCCTCATGAACTAGTCGAACGACTCGAGACATATTTAGATGTGAGTTTTTTTTTTCTTTACAATAATATCACAACAACAAAATTGCAGAGAATAGCAACCTACTCAATGTTTGTTTACTCATAATAGCAATGTAATTTACAAAGCATAAAGTACGTTGCTATGAATGAATTTGTTGTTGGAATGAATGATGATATGATAACAGAGCCTTGAGGAACAGCTTGTGGATTTATCTTCACTGTTGTATGATCATCGTCTACATGATGCGTACATGAACAGTACTGATATTCTAGAAAATTCCATTTTCACACAACAGTAAGTTCTAGAATATGTTTCTTGTTGGTTATGTTTATCTGTTTTTGATGGTGATTATTAATTTATTAATTTTTTTTATTTTTTTTATTTTTATTTATCAAGGTATGTTGAACATGTGCTGGAGAGTGAAAGGGAACGGATGAGATGTTGTAACATCGAGTATAATCGAACGCCGCAGCCTTCTCAAAGTCTGTTTTATGCGGCTATCCTATTTGCAGGTTTCTTTGCGTATTTTGTTGTCATTTACTTTTCATCTCCTATCGGGTGATTACTGTAAGTAATTAACATTTACTAAACACCCTAATTCTTAATTTCACCAGAAACAATGATTATCGTATAAATACAGTTTCTGATTTTTTTTATATGTTTTGTCGCGTAGTGCCTATGTTTTTGTCGTGTCTATCTCTCTACCTCTGGAAGTTTGGAATCTAGAAGATTGCCACCTGTCAAGAGGCGGGTCTACTGCCAAAAAAGATGTAAGTAATATGCAAACCCTAAAAAGTAAAAACAATGAAAATTCAAAAAACTGGATCAAAACTTTTAATTGATGAAATAAATAGATCTTGTAAACTAACATCAAAAGATTATAATAATACTAATATTGAATTCATGTGTATATGTTTGTGGAGAAATTGTTACTAATACAGTGATTAATACACATTTAAGATTACTTTATGTTGTGTGGATGTAATACGGAATAAATTTCAATGATTTTTTTTTTGTTACATATGATAGGCTAACATCATGCCTATCTGTTATTTTTATCAACTAAAAAGTTTGATTCTTTTTTTGTGGTTATAGTGAATTTTCTCTTTCGTTTTTTTATATCATTTGTATACGTAAGATATCATTGATGAATGACAAGAATGTAAAAGACAAATGAAATGTACAATAATAAAATAAAACTGAACCTTTCTTTAGCCTAAGAATTGATGTTGTGATAATGACATAATTGTTTTTGCGTCTTTTACACCTATATTGCCACCTCATTGTTAACATGTAACCTTAGATATTGATGTCGTGTTCTCAATGCATCGTATTTGTTGGTTAGTGGATGAATGAATGATGTTTTTCAGTCACACCAATGATGATTGGTGCCTTTTTTTATTCTAAACACTAAAACCCAAATCTTATTTTATAAAAAAAGTATTAAATAAGAGAAAATAACAATAATAGGTGTTTTTTAAGCTTTTTACAAGAATTTAGCAAAAGTTAATAGATTTTCACCAATAACCAACATTTCAGAGGGGCACTACAAAATGAGCATGGTGGCTCAAAATGTAATGGGCTTTTTCAAACTTTTTTAATTTCACAGTACCCCATACGAATGGGTATAATATTAGTTCATTCCGTAATATGGTATTCATTTGTAAGGTCCACTGTAAAATGAGAAAATAGAAAAAAACAGTGACGTTTTTGAGCCACTTTGCTCATTTTATAATAGAGCCTATCTTTATTTTACACTCCTATGAAATGGGTGTTTATCGGTAAAAATGAAATAAACTTTGGTTAATTCTTGTCAAAATCTAAAAAAGTGGCGTTTTTATCATTTAATCTCTAAATAACAATCAATTGACTTTGTGTATAAAATATTACTAGCATATCTAAATTGAACAACACTATACTAATATTTTAATTTTTGTACTTCTATAATTAACTAGATGGGAATCATGCGCTTCTATTGATGCCGAGTCATTTTATTTTTTAATCTATGTCACTTTTCTATTATCTAAATCCACACCCCAAAAAAAATTCATTCAAATCCTAACGAACGTTTTTATAACTTACTCTGAGGCTTTAAATAAAGAGAACCAATAAGAGTTAAGATTGCCCATAACTAATTTGCAAAGAGTAATATCAAATGATAGCGGCCTTGGTTTCCATAGAAACAACCTAGAAATGAGAGTTTTGATAAGTAAAGAATGTGTACTTACCATAATTTAAAAACAAACTGTTCATGACACTTGTGAATAAATGGACAAAATTGTCATTTTCTAAAAAGGACAAAATGGGAATACTAATATAAGATCATATTTATAAATCATATCAATGAACAAAATGACATAACGAAGGATGCGGGCTATGGTTTTTTCTTGTAGGATCCAAATGATAGCAAGAAAGATAATAAATCCTGTGGGAAAATGGAATTTTTAAAATTATTTACTTTTTTTGGTAAATAAATATAAAAAAGTTATAAAAATTTGAAGTTAAAGAATACAAACCAATGCAAAGTCGTCGAAGCGTTTACTGTTTCAATAAAACAAAGCAAATTGATGATTTCAAATTCGATATATTCAAATTACAAAATTTTAAAACTTAAATAATTGTTGAAAATAATTAAATTCGGATAAAATAAAGCAATAACCAAGTCCCCAAAGAAGTGTACGCTGCACCAGATCATAATTCCAATTTTATAATTTATAGACAACACAACATACCAGTGGGCAAATGGTATTTCAGTCATTTTCATATATGAGAGAATGCCTACCGGGATATGATTTTTTCAAACCATCTGCCTTCCGCAACTTCTCAAGCCATTCTGTACCTTCAGACCTCCTCCAAGCTGGGAAAAAATTATAAAAATCATATATAAATTTATATATATATATATATATATATATATATATATATATATATATATATATATATATATATATATACCTGCTTGTTAGGCTTTTGTTCAAGTCAAATTATAGTCGTACCCTATTCGGGATGAAATCACCTCCATCAGCAATTACAACTCCATAGTATCAATAGTATGACCCTACATGCTGTTGCCATGACGAGTAAATGCAAACCAAAAATGTAAGCAAAAAGTAAGAAAACGCAACTAAGAATATCCGTATGCAAGTTCTCATTTTTCATGAAAATTGAATAGCAATGTATAATTGAATCTATGAAAAATAACATAAATAAAAAAAATTACCTGAATCTCAATGACAACAATAGAATAAACATAAGCAAATGCGATATATCGATGGCTTGAAATGTTCTCCAAATCTTCTGAGCTCCGGTTACATCAACTCCGACAAATCTTCTCATCACATGTTCTTTTGCATTTTCTTCAAATTAACTCCTGTTTTTTGCAAATCCATCAAACATAACACTGTAACAAACAATAATCACAATGTTAATAACTATAACCAAAAAGAAATCAAGATTGATTTATTTTGAATAGTATTTTTCTACCTATCAGCACCTTTACAGAGTAAAAGATGGTTCCCGAATTCCTCATGACCAATGACAAACATTCTTTGTAGAATTTTTTCAAGATTTGATACCAAAATTTAGAAAAGGGTAAAAAGGAATAAATAAAAATATTAGCTTTCGACTTTTTTCTTGGACATAGGATCCAACTCGATAAAAGAAACAGTTGTTTGTGTCCTTTTATAAAATTGGAAGCCAAGTTCTCTTGCAGCTATTTCATCAGGGGATTCAACTTCATAAGTAACGATCCCTGTTTCTCAACCATCAAATTTTCAGAGGATTTCCAGTCTTTGTACTTTATCATTTTCTTAGTTTACACAACTAATTGTGTGTGAATAGTTAATGTACAAAAAGAAAATTAAAGTAAACAAAAGGTAAATCAGGTTAATGGTGCACCAAGTGCAATGAAGTAAGTTAAAACAGAAGCCCAGGAGATGCATATATTGTCTTAAAATGGAACGAAAGCAGAAAAATTAAAAAAACAAATACAAAATAATTAATAAAAACACCTCTTGCTTCACTGATATCTGTTGAAAATGGTAGATAAAATTAGTAGATGGTAGAGACAATTCTTTGAATCCTACAAAAAACATTGAAAGCACAAATTTTAAGCCATATTTATTTACATCAAAAAAAGAGGAAGAAAATGAACCGAAAGAAGGAGGGGGTTCAATACGCATAGCCGATTGAGCAATTGGAAAAAAATTTGACCACCATCCATTGACCAGATTGATATACCTCAACTTCCTTAACGACACCATGTTCTTCAAAAACCTTCTGGAGTTCATCATTGTTTGTTGTGCGAGGGATGTTACCGACATATAGTTGTCTGGCAGCTTCCGACGACGGGTCGACAGTGACCATTGCCACCGGCGTTTCCTCGGCATCTGATTTGGGCACCATTCGAATACTCTGTTACCTCCATTTCAACCACCACCAAATCGCTCCGGTCCTTCTTCAACTCCCATTATTTTATCAGCACTTCCACCCTCCATATCTTTAAACACCCACGAGGCACATAAATCGAAATCAAAGATAAGCCTTACCCAAATTTTAAGGCGACATGAATAAAGAAATATAAACTTTTAAAACAAAAACGTATGTGGCGAAAGTAAAAAAGGAAGGAAAAAAAGAGGCACAAATGAAAAATGCAAAATTTTCCTGAAATCAAAGATAAGCGTTACCCAAATTTTAAGGTGGCTTGAATAAAAATATATAAGTTTTAAAACAAAAGCGTATGTGGCGAAAGTACGAAATGAAAGAAAAAAATGGGAACAAATGAGAAATACAAAAGTCTCCTGTACCACCAGTTTAACAATTAATAGTATATATAATTAAGCGGTTTAAGCTGATTTTCTTTTAGAAAATGTTCGTTATAAATCCAATTATTTCTCTAAAACTGTCTCATATCTTTATAAGTAATTCAAGTTGTTTAGTTTGATTTTCTATCATATTATGTAAAGCTCGATATAACTACAAGTATATCATTGAGACCGTTTATTTTATCTACAAAGACATAAAATTTTCTTCCACATGTATAATAAGACTTGACATATTTTTAGTCACAAAATTTGGTTTTGATATACATTATAAAGTATGTTTTTGTATTTAGTGCTATGAGTCCCGACGATGTGCTGATTAAAAAAATGAGTGAGAGAAAGTTTCCCTCACCCTCGAACTCCATAGCGTGGGTGAGGGGAGTCTGTCCCCCACAGTGGCGGAGGCAACCACTTTAAGTGGGGTGCATGGCCCCATTTGGAGGTGGGTCCCATCACATTTAGTACTATAAAGCCCTCAAAACTTTTGATTTTTATTAAAAGTCCCTCTTTAGCACCCACTTTTACATTAAATACCCTTATTGATAGTTTTTTTTTTTTTTTCTAAAATAACAACATTTTTTTTTTAAAACTGACAATTTTATACCTGTATGTATTTTTTTTTATCAATAATGGACCCTAGTTAGATTTCGTTCTTGATCCGCCACTGGTCCCCCACTCTCTCTTATCGTGTGATTGGTCTGTATTTTAAATGTTTTTTTTTTATATATATTAAATTATATATCTACTAAAAATTATAAAAAATATATATCAAAATTCATGGTTTCTAATTTCCTATAAAATGATTATAATATTTGTATGAAATATATTTAAAAAAATTAATAAAAAAATGAAAGATTCTTCACATACACACCCTGAATTCCTGTGAGGGAAAGAAAAATAAAAAAAAAACTGTCTAAAGTGTGTTTTGAGTACATCATGTTGATGAAATATAAATTTCTATATATGTTCAAATTTGTAAGAACTTAATAAACTACGGTTGACCTAATACCATAGATATCATCATGTTTTCATAAATAACCGAATGTAATAATAATTTTTTTGTAATTTATCTCACAAAATATCACAAAAATACAAGATTCAACTAATTTATTATTTACAAATCTACTAATATATTAAAAGACTTTACATAAACTTATAAAATAATCTT